CCCCCTTCCCCTCCAACTGGTTCTGTGGTAAATGTTGCCCTAATTAGCCTTTTTTTAAAAAATGGACACCTTCAGACATAACTTAGTCTGCTCTGCTTGTAATGTTATAAAATTACTGTGTGTGGCGGGCTGGGACACGCACCAGCTCGGCATCTTTTGTACTTGTTATTCATTGATGCTTTTTGGAAACCGGGGGTGAAAGAGAAATCAAAGACACCAAAACACAACATAAAATGTTAACCTATTTTTTTTTAAACAGGGGCTGGGGAAAGGAAGTGGGGTGGGAGGGTGCACAAGGATTTTGAAACGCTGCCTCTTCCTTCACGCCAATCTGGGCTGCTACTGTTGTCTGTGTTAACGATATCTACCTCCTGTAACCCTGCAAGAGGTAGGTTTAAAATTTTTACCCACCTAGTATTGTACCTATTGGACCCATGGACAAAGAGCGCATTTTCTTGTCTCTGTGTAAGTTTTACCATCTTCTCTCCATATCACTTAAGTAATTTTGTTAAATTTTAAAGAGGGCAAACACCAGCCACTTCTTTGCGGTCGGCCCTTCAAGCACAAACCATGTTGAAAGCCGGCTGCGCTGTGCTGAGCGGGGTCAGAGCCCTGGCCGTTCTGCCCTGAAAACGCGCCCGCGACTCAATCAGCTGCACAGCAGCCCTTCAGTTGAAGCTTGTTTAGAAGCACAGTGGAAAAACTGTATGAATCCTGTGCATATTTAATAGGTTTTTTCTCCTTGATAGAGGTGTGTTCTGCTTTTAAAGTTGGGTTGTTTTTCCTTTTTTCCCCCTAAGTGAAGGGCAGCTGCTTTCTTACATGAGTACTTTTTCATAGCTACTCCGCAGCAGAGGGAATTTTTTCTGGGGGAAGGGAGCAGGGTGGGAAAGCAAATATGGAGTTTGGAGTGGGGAGAGGACATATATTTTTATGTTCTTGCAACAGCAGAATAAAGAGAGAAAAAAAAAAAACTGTTTACATACTTGTAGTGAACTCAACTTCCATATATTAAAACTTGTGTCCTTAATGTTTGTTTCATGCTGGGCCAGTGGAACTAACTTTTCTTCATCCAAAGCCAGACATTTATGTCTTATGTTTAAGACCTGTCTTAGTAAAAACTGCCATAATTCTGTACAGAGGTAGGATTTTTTTTTTTAATGAATACACTTTTATTAAAAGATTTGAAGACAAGAACGAAAGAGATGGAAGGCTCATCTGTTCACACAACTGCCACCTCGCATTCTCTCCACTTCCCTTATCAGGAATTTGAAAACAAGGCCTAGGAAAACCATGGCTTGTCCTCCGCAGAACAATTACTGCCTTCTGAAGCAGCGATTGTGTAATAAACCTACTAGTGATGCATTATCTTTACAGCATTGCCAGTGTAATTGCCCTTCTACAACTACCAAATTTCTGGCTTTAAAATAAGCCAGAAATTTGTACCTAAATACTAATTAGCTCAGTGCAAGCAGCCGTTACTGTTAACACAGCATTAGCAATTAACACCTTGGTTATTGAGCCTGTGCCTGCCAGTTGCAACGATCTGTACATCAGCCAAGCGTTACTTCTACACCCTTCAAGACAGCATTGACTTCTAGGCTAGTGTGCCACCAGGCACATAACCCAGCAAGAGAAAACAGGTTGGCAAGTAAAGACCTGCAGCTACCCAGCGTTCAAAGCAGCCCAGGAGAACTGCTGGGAGAGGCAGCCAGCAGCAGGGCTGCTAGACCTGCTACAGCTTGACCAACAGTTGTACCTGCTGGTTTCTCCCCCCACCCCCTTAGGCAAAGGGGAGACAACAGAAGCCTCAGTCCTTCTGAAATGCAAAGAGGTGATTGGTGGTATTTGTGGGTGTTCAGTGGTCTGCAGCCCCTCCAGGCTTAAGGAGGGAGCTGAAAGGTGCAGTCACTGTCTTAATTCTGCTGCTGCAGCTGCATCAGAACTTAAGACTATTCCACTGGAGGAGGTACAGGTGGGTAGAGGTTGTACACACAGTTGTTTGCCACCTGCAATGAATGCAAATTTAAAGTGTTTTTACAGTACTCTTACTATACTACCAAAAGCCATTCCCTTTGTAACATGCTACACAGGAATCTGGCTGTCTAGAACTACAACCAACTACTTCCATGAATCTCTCTTGTGTACAAGATAAAGGAATGTTGATACAAGTCTTCATTAAAATGAATAATTTTCTCTATTAAAAGACTTGGACATCTGTGTTTGAGGTACACATAAGAAAATGAAAGCTGGCACTAGTATACAGGGATGACACTGCTGAGAAGCTTTATGAAGTTAGATACAGAACTGGCTACATACATCCTTTTTAAGGAAAGGCCCATTCCACACTAGACACTCCTGCTTAGGTGAAGACAACTCCTTTCTTCCAGCAACACATCCAGACTTCCACCACACCCACACAGCCAGGGACCCAGATGAGGCACAAGGACACAAATTGGAGCCAGACCCTTCTATGTGCTTACAGCTTCCCCACCACACACATGCTTCAGTTGCTTGCAGGTGTCACAAGGGTTACGCACCATTATGTTTTAACAGCAGGAAGGTATTTCTGCAAAGCAGCAACCAGTTGTAACATGCCCAGGGTGTCAGGTTATCACCACATACCATGGGATTCTGTCACAGGACAACCCAAGTAACAAGACATACCAACTGAGCTCAGGTCTTAGCTGTTCCAGGGTTACTGGCTGGAAGCAACCTGTGGGATGCTGTTGGTGTCTAGCAAATTAGCTACTGACATCATGAAGTCCAGGCCTACTTTGCCATGTTAGCAAGTCAGCAGGTAGGGGTTTGGCATTTGGGTTTTTTTATAGACAGCAAGACCAAGGTGTATTTGCCCAGCAAGTTTATTACACAAGTCTGAAACCTACAAATGCTGCAACTTTGCCAGGAGGAAGCCCTGATACATACAGCATCTACTGCTCTTTGAGTAGTCTTGCCAAAGCTTGTAAGGCTAATCCTCCAAATCACAGATTATACTAGAAGTTTTGGTGTTCAGGATGTGATCACTACTACACATCTTCCATGACACAGAACAGGCGTTCCAGTTAGTGAGGTTATGCTTAATGGTTACAGCAGATGCTTTAGCAGAAGGCTACAGAGACATTCCATCATGGTCAATGCAATTGCAATGTACATCATACAAAATTAAGTCAGTCTTCACCAGTTTAAGTGATTCTCAGAATGCAGAGTAGTAATGAGATTAAGTGATAAATCTTTTGCTTGCACAAGGAAGGGCAAGTACAATATTTGCAATGAAATACAGCCTATTCATCACTCATCTTAAGCATTTTGGATACAATACTTAGCTCTTCGCTATTCCAATTACACCACAAGCTAAGCGAGGGCCAGCATTTCCAGTTAATTTGCTCTCATTATCTCCCCCTCTACCCAGGTCATCGCGTTTTTCGTGGACCTAAAAAGAGAATTGAAGATATCTTAATTCATGTTATTGCATAACCAACATTTTTCACTACTCACATTAGTAGCAGTGACAAGCAGTATTGCCAGCTGCCAGCAGGATGTGTTACACAGAGAACCTGTTTAATGACATAATGCCGAATGCCAAGTTGATACTTGTGCTAAAAACTTAAGACTAGACTTGTCTAAAAAGATAAGTTGCCTCCAGCTGAATTTCTTTGAATTGGAAGTCACCAAAACCCCATGTTTCAAGAAATTAATCCTAGTGCAAGAGCAAGCTTGGACTTGACATTCAAGTTCACCCTTACAACACGAAGCACATGCGGTGCCTTGGCTGCACCACCCGAAGTGCTATACTACACATCCCCCTGCTCCTTGGCCATCAGTCCAAGCCTGCTTTGTGCAGGAGCACACACTGCAGTCACCAGGGAAACCAATCACTAACAATGCCCATGGGTGGCCAAGTCCACACAGCCTCTTCCTCCCTCCATCCCAGGGACCCCATGGCAGAAGTCAAGCCAACAACTCCCAGACCAGTACTAGCAAATGGTGTCCTGAAACACCCACTGCCATGCCTTTCAGTGATGGCATTTGTGCCAAGCTGCCAGTTCCTTCCCCAAATCAGGTTGCTTTAGTCACTCACAGCTGGAAGCAGCAAAGTTAAATGGAGAGTAACATCTTCAGAAGGCAGGCAGAAAATTAAGATCTCATGGCAATGAAGTGCCATACTAATACACAGAGGACTTCAAGGCAGGGCTTCAAAGGATGCTCCATGCTAGAAATCTTGCACTACAAGTTCTACAACAAACTCCAGGGACTGGCCTCCAGCATCAAAAAGCTTCCACCCTCTGTCAAGAGTGCTCTGGAGTTCTTTAGAGCATCCCCAAGTAGACACCAGGACACTTACCACCATGGTACGTCCGATGATGCTATGTGGTCCGCTAAGAGAAATGATGTGATCTTCTATTTGCACTTCTGCCACTCCGCCTTTAGCAGTCACATTTCCAAGGTCTCCCACGTGCCTACACAAAGATGCAGAGAAACTCAGAGAGAACTTGGTTGAAGTGAAAGCTCTTCCAAGTGATGGCCCAATGCAATACCCATAGTTACTACACTCAGGTAGTTCACCACCTTATCTTAAGCAGAACGTATCTCCTCATTAACCATCATCAGTCAATCTTGACCATTTCCACTGTTTTTAACTCCTTTATTTCAAGGGTTGATTGCAATTCAGTCCTAGGTAAAACTTGAAACAGGAAGGTTAATCAACTTGGGGGAAAGGAATGCCATTGCTCCCTAAGAAGCCAAGCCAACAGTGCACACCTCCTATAGCCAAGGATTCCTCTATACTGATGGCATCTCCCTCTGCTCAAAGAAAGTCTCCCACATTAGGTGAAATAACCTTTCCTGCACATACAAGGCTTAGTGTAAACACTGCCACTATTCTTAAGAGCTTTTAATGTCTATCACTTATTAGTGATAGATATTAGCTATTCCACAAGCAGCTGCAGGCTTTAGGTTTAAATAGGATTAGTAAAAGCAGTTTGTCAAGTGACAGGTCAAAGGGCATGTGTTAAGTGCTAGCTAAGTTCTAATCAGTACCAGGGATGACTATCCAAGTTTGCATAGCATTCTCCCATACACTTGGCATTACATTCTACCACACAGGTTTTATCAAACCTAGATCTCTGCTAGGACTTCCCTTAAAACTTAAGCCTCAAGCAGTTCAGTTTTCACTGAACTTCTGGACATTCCAGAGTCTTGTTTCCTACACATCTGCCCCAAATAAACCATTCACTCAAAAGACAAGTTGACGATGTTCTACAGACTCTTCAATCCAGGTTCAGAATCTTGAATACCAACTTGTTTCTAAAACTCTCCATGCATACAGGGTGACCAGCTCAGCTCCCTGAATGCTGACTACCAGCTTCTTAGACAGCATAGCCCCAATTTCGTATTTTTAACCAAGTCCTATAAAATCAGGTCAAGGGCAATTTTCCCTTTAGGAATTTGCTTGATTTAAGCTTCCAGGAAGCTTCAAGTGTTTCAACTCTACACTGATAAAAGCATGATCTAGTTCTTACACCCTCGTAAGGAATTACCCAGCCTACAGCTGCCTGAGTAAGCAGGTTACACCAGCAGCAGGATTTGACAAAGCAGAAACAGCAGAAGCCACAAAGTTCATGGAGTTTTGACCTTTTGCACTGGAGCAGTTGGCTGCCAGCAAGGCCCGTGAGCACACCATTTCATGCTGTCCTGTCATCCAGATAGCTGGCTAGCAGCCCGCATGCTTAGGTTGGCATACAACTGATCACTCAGGTATGAATTTGGGCCCCTCTCTACAAGGACATTGAGGAGCTGGAGCATGTCCAGAGAAGGGCAACAAAGCTGGTGAGGGGTCTGGAGAACAAGTCTTACGAGGAGCAGCTGAGGGAACTGGGATTGTCCATTCTGGAGAAGAGGAGGCTGAGGGGAGACCTTATCGCTCTCAACTACCTGAAAGGGGGTTGTGGCAAGGTAGGTGTTGGTCTCTTTTCCCCAAGTAACTAGAAATGGCCTCAAGTTGCACCAGGGGAAGTTTATATTGGATATTAGGAAAAATTTCTACACCGAGAGGGTGGTCAAGCATTGGAACAGGCTGCCCAGGGAGATGGTGAAGTCACCACCACTGGAAGTATTCAAAAACCATGGAAACATGGTACTTCAGGACATGGTTTAGTGGGCATGGTGGTGCTGGGTCGACAGTTAGACTTGATGATCCTAAAGGTCTTTTCCAACCTTAATGATTCTGTCAATTTATTAGTCATATAAGGTGCAGTTATGGACATAAATGTGAGCATTCAAAGGCTAATCACAATGCCAAGTTGGTCCCAATGCTAGTCCAGACCCTATCTGTGCAAGCCCAGCCTACCTTTTATACTTGCTCCAAACTCCTCTCACTACCACACTGGCCTTCAGCTCTTGTGTGCAGCCTCCTCCCAGTCCCCAAACCCAGTCACCATACTATTTAAACCAGTTGTTCAGCCATCAGGTCTCAAACATGCAAGGGTTCCCTGAAGGTAACTGGACTATGAAAACTACTTCCAGGGGAAGAACTAAGTCTCAGCTCCCACTGAGGTAGAGATAGTCAGCATGAGCATCAGACCCTGTACTGATACACTGCACACACAACCCCTGAGGAGTACATACTGTGGGTAGTACGGTATGTACACTAACAGGCTAAGAACAGCCCAGCACACACAATAAAAAGCCCCCATGCTCAGGAACACACAGCTTTCTATTCATCCTGCCATGTCCCCTGAGGCCTCAGCACCTTCCACTGATGATCCTTATCTGCACACACAACAAGCCTGCAGACAGCTCAACAACTGACAGTTTAGGGCCCCTGTTGTCAAAAGCTGGCCCCAGAAGAGAAGCAAATCACCACTGACCAAATAAGGCTTTAATACAGGAACTTCCCCCACTCATACCTTGAGGAACCTTCACTCAGTAAAAGCCTCAGTAAAAGAGCTGAGGTGTCTAACAAATCATCATACAGTTATCAGAGCCTTTGTTAAGCGACCCTAGAAGTCCTGCTGGAATTGTCAATTTTATTTTGGTATTGTCCTAGCATTATTCATGAAGTGGCCTCCCAAGCACAAAGTAGCACTTAGATGACTGCTTGCATGGAGTAGCTACCCAGTAAAAAGACTGGGCACATTAAACTCACCTTTCTGCATCACTTGGTCCACCATGCTGCTTGCCTTCAGGATTGAAGTGAGAACCTGCACTGGTACACCCTGAAACAGAATGCAGCCATCAAGTAGATTTTTTTTTTTTGTAATAGCCAGTTTAAACCTGTTGCTTATACACTACACCAAGGTAGTCCTCCTATAGCCAGAGGAAGTGAAGTCACCAATGATGAAATAGCTAGTCTCCTGTTAGATGTTCTACTAATCCTCTGAAGGTAAGTAACCTACTACAGACTTGCAAGTCCAATAAAGTAAGATTACTTATTATAGAACACTCTGGGCTCAGTTGAAAGCTTTCTTATTTCCTAATACTAGGTTTATCAAAGTATTTAGGTTAGTGCTTGGTATGTCAGATCTTGAGCACCAGCCTAAACATGTTCAAAGTATTAAATGGGAAACAACTCCTTAGCAAATGTCATCACTTCTTAAACAAGATTTGCAGTCATGAGACCTACTAACTACACTTACACTAGTTGCTGCTGCAACACTGAAAGAAGCTCTTTAAAGCTGAGCAGTCACATTACAGCTGTAACTCAAAAGCTTGGATAAGCATCTTACCATTTGTATTGTCACCAAATTCATGGACATGGAAGCCATGATCTCCATCAGCCAAGCCACAGATTCTTCCAGTAACTTTTACTGGTCCATCACCCTTTAATGGAAAGAATTTATCACCAAAAGGACTACAACATTAAATGGCCTTGTGTCAACTGAAGCTTCCCAGTCAACAGAAAGCACCAGAAACTCTGCTACAAGTTCAGCTACCAAGACACACACGCTTACCCTCCTACACTGATCCTATATGGCAATACAGCTTTTGACCCAATAGCTGCATTTGTTTAGCCACCCAAAATACACTCTTCCTATTACGTATCAATAAGCAAAGAGAATGCCTTTTATCAGAATGCTTGCTTTTGAGAGTGATCACATACTTCCCTCTAGAAGCACAAGAGACCCGAAAGTCACTCCTCCGCCACAGACAGGCTACTGCCCATCTGCAGCCCCAGCTTCTTTACTGAGTGTGACTCAGGAAGGAGCGGTCGAAAGGGCTCCGGTCGCTTGGCAATTAAAAGCTCCGTTAAGCCCTACGCCGACAGCGGTAAACAGCTCCGCACCAAAGCCTAAGGCCGGCTCCAGCACCGAGCTCGGCCGAGCAGCCGGCGCCGGGCAGACGGCTCACGCTCGCCCGTCGGTGGCCTCCCACCCCCTCTTCG